GCTCTGGTAGCGTAGTGCCTAAGGCACTTGACTGCTAACCAGAAGCCTGGTGGTTCAAACCCACCAGCCACTCCTCAGAAGGAAGGTTGGGCAATTGCCTCGGAAAGCCAAGGAGGAGTCGCTATGAGTCGCGTCCGAGTCGATGGCAGATAACAACAACAATAACAAGCTGTGAAGAGAATGAGAAAAATAGAAACAAAACAGTAGTTGAAAAGATATGAGGTCTAAGGAAGAATTATTTTTAAATGCAAAATACTAGAAATGTAAGGTCTGATGGAAAGGATGCAGATCATACTAGAGATGGAGAAGAGAGAAATGGAGTAAGTTCCCTGCTACCAAAAATGGAAGAGTTGGCCTTTGATAGGTACAGTGCAGTAAACAGTTTGGTATGGCCTTCTAGCCATGTCTTTATGACTCCCACCGGATGACTGGGTAGGATCATGCAAATGTGAGATGCTTATGCCCACCAAGGGAATTAGATAGCTTGCTAATAGTGTAAATAAGGTACATGGCCCCCTTGCGGAGATGGGAACCCTAACATGGCATTGGTCAGTTTTGCCCTCCCACTAGGCTTGAAATGAGCCATCCTAGAAGCAGAAAAGGGAGATCTTCACTAATATCAAGAAAGAAAAGCCAGGAGTGGAGCATGTCCTTTGGATTCAAGATCCCTGGGCTGAAACTCCTTGATCCAGGAGACAGAGAGCCTTCATACCAGAGATGGCAAGAGACAACAAGAAGTAGAGGCAGAGAAACTGTGGCAGCAGAGGCAACAGATCCAAGAGACCAGCACAAGACAGAGCAGTAGACTTCCGGGCCCACAGAGTGAGAAAGCTGCATGCTTTCGGGTAGAATCTTACCGGCAGAGTGAGGTGCTCTGGGCATTGATTGGCAGAGATAAAAGAGCTTTGTAACATTTGTCTGAGCAAGGGAGAGGGCAAGGGCCTGCAGAGCGAAGAGGCTGAGGGCCACAGAGAGGCATGCCTGCAGGTACTGCTAAGAGAAGAGCTGTCCTGATCTAAGAACTTTATCCTGAGTCATTTCTGATTCTGCATTATAACCTGTTACCTCCCTAATAAACCCCATAATTGTGAGTATTGTCTGTGAGTTGTGCGTGGCCATCTCAATGAATTATCAAACCTAGCAGAGAAGTAACAAGTGTCACAAGAGGAATGGTTGGTGTCAGAAAAAAAAAAAAAGGAGGATGGAGGCATGCCTGACCTCCACCTCATAGGAATCAGCCTTGGGCTGTTGATGTTGATCTTGACCCTCCTCCCCACATTGCAAAGTTAGAGGTGGCAGATGAGGACACCCTCATGCCAGTTTTATAATAGGAGTTACGCAGATGTGTGGAGATGTGTAGATATGCAGATATGGAAAAGATGTGGGGGATGCACAGATGTGGAGAGATGTGCAGATATGGTGGCAGGAAGCCAAAGCCTGTATGATATAATTTACAATATGAAATACAGGATAAGATTACTTTTGAAAGTTAGTCAGACTGAGCTGACTAATGGGGGTTTAAGGGGACTGAAGAAGGTATAAAATTGTCACTGGGGAGAAAACAGATTTCAGGCTGCATCTAGAGCTTGGTGAAGGTTGGTGATCATGAATCTTGGGTGATATCCATAAGCTCAGTTGAGAGGAGGTAAAAGAAAAAGCAGAGGAAAGAATAGTGGGGCTCCTGATCCAGAACCCACTTTCCAGTCCCAAGCTTCAGTTCTCCCATACTTTTTAGTTATACCATCTGCCAGTCTAAATTATAATATTTCATTTTTGTGTCACTTTTTAAAGCTCCTGATCACATGATGTTTTGTTTTCTTTAACCATTTCATATTTCATATCCCTCAGACTTTAACTCGCTACTCTCAACTTCTATGTCCTGGACCCTTTTGAATATCTTTATGCAGCTAGACATACAACACCTATTCAATAAATACTTCCTAAGCAGATCTAAGGTTTGAGTAGGAAGGTTCTTTCAAATTGTGGAAAAGAAAACAACCAAGACTGCCTTCTGGTTTGTTTCCCTACTACACATGTAGAAGTTTAGTATGGGTAAACTTGCGGGTACAGGGGGTTACACTAAGCTTGTATTTTTGTAGTGACCAGTGATAACTGAGTGCCAACATGGTGCACCTGAAAGAGCTAGGTGATGAGGCTGCCATCACTCTTAAAGAGGAAAACAGACCAGCTGTGGTCACTTCCCACCAATTGCCCCAAACTCCTATGTTTCTCCATCCATAGACCCTCCCCATGGCCAATGTTGCACAGATACAAGCTGTCCTCTTCTCTCCAGCTGCCACTCTACAAGACTCAACTGTGCACTTCATGTTGTTGTTGTTGTTGTTTGCCATCGAGTTGGCCCCGACTCATAGCGACCCCTCCTTGGGTTTCCGAGGCAGTATCACTACGGAAGTAGGAATGCCCAACCTTCCTTCCGAGGAGTGGCTGGTGGGTTTGAACCGCCAGCCTTCTGGTTAGCAGTCAAGTGCCTTAGCCACTATGCTACCAGAGCTCCTTGTGCACTTCATAGAATTCCCAAATAGTTAGAGTTAAGAGCACATACTTATTGGTTTATCTTCTGAATTTGGAATCAGATTGCTCAGTACCCAAAGACTTTCAGTTAGAATATTGCTATTGTTAGAATGTTGCCCTAAAATTTGGAGAGAAAAAAAAGTAATAGAGAACACAAAGAGTAAGGGCAAGAAAAAAGGCCAGCTTCAAGTTTCACCTTTGTTTTCCAAGTTCATACCTTTGCAGCCAGCCGACACTCCATCACTCTGATATTGAAGTGAGAAGTTGCTGCTTTATTCATTTCCACACAACTGTTGGCAATCACAAACACTGCTCCACTTGGGAGTTTCACATCAGTTGCCCTCAGAGGACTAAATTCTATCAACTTGGCCTAATGGAAAAAGAATGACAGATGAGTTATAAATTATTAGAATGCAGAAAATGCTTAAGCATGTTTGCATTTATTTACCTTAACAGAGTCCTTTTACAAAAACGCAATCATTCATTCATTCAAATATTATTTATTGACTCCCAGGCATGGTACTAGATACTTGGGATGTAACAGTGAACAAGACGACATCCCTGACCTCACCAAACCTATAATCTAGAAACATATTTTTACACAAATAACACACATGATACACCTTTTTTCTTCTGCCAACCATATTCTACCCACAAAGTATTTTCATAAGCATGCTATGATAATTTTTATAGCAACATATAAAAAAATTATCATAGTATGCTTACAAAAATACCTTGGGGGAAGGCATAGTTGGCAAAAAATGTATAATGCACATATTACTTGCATAAAAATGTGGTAAAAATACAGTCAAGTAGACAGACAAAAAATCTCCAGATTCTAAGTGTTACAATGATAGCAAAGCATGGGGTGACATATATACAAGCAGTTGAAGCTCCTGACCAGATATAACCTAGTGTAAACTCCTTTGAAAAGGAGAAATAAAAATTGAGCCCAAAAAGATGAAAGACTGTAGAGCAGACCACCAAAAAAGGTGTCAGGAAGAGAGATGAGAATACATAAGTCCAGAGATGAAAAATAATGTGGCATATTGTATTAGTTAAGGTTCTCCAGAGACATAGAACCAATAAGATACAGAGAGATTGATAGATAAATAGATATGCATGTATATGTATATACACACACACTTATGTGTTATATATAAGTGTGTGTGTGTGTGTGTATATGGTTGTTGTTATGTGCCATCAAGTTGGACCCGACTCATAGCGACCCCTCCTTGGGTTTCCGAGGCAGTATCACTACAGAAGTAGATTGTTCCATCTTCCTTCCGAGGAGTGGCTAGTGGGTTTGAACCGCCAGCCTTCTGGTTAGCAGTCAAGTGCCTTAGCCACTATGCTACCAGAGATCCTGTGTGTGTGTGTGTGTGTATATAAAATTATAGGTGTATATATGTGTGTGTGAGTGTATGTGTATATACATATCCACACATACACATATTGTCCTATTGGTTCTATTTCTCTGGAGAACCCGGGTAAGTATTGTATTACATATATATATATATAATA